TCCCGCTCCCTGGCAGCTGTGTCCACCGGTTTGGCCCCCCCAAAGATGGATGCAGCCCGGCTGGACTGGGGCGCAGGGGCCACGGAGGTCTCCTCCTCCTTGGGTGTGCTCCTGGGCTTCAGGTTCAGCTTCGGCCTCTGAGTGGGACCTGGGGAGGAGCAAAGATCCCACGAGTGGGCACAAACCCCACCCTGACCCACTCTCAGCGGAGCCAGGGGCAGTCAGACACCCCCGCTCCCAGCAAAGCCGTTACCTCTGTCCTCACGGCGGAAATCATCCCGGCTGTAGTCATCCCGGGAGTTCCACCTATCCATCCGGTCATCCCGCCGCTCATAGCGGTCTTCGTAGCGGTCACTGCACCCTCGGCAGTCATCATCTTTTTTATCCCGGCGATAGCCGCTGCCAAAGGCCCTCCTGCCGCTGCCTATCCTGGAATCGTAGCCTGCGGGAGGAAAGGGAACGCTTCCCGCTGAGTCCCAATCCCTGCCAGGCCGGCGCGGTGCAGAGCAGGAGGCCTTCCTGCAGGCCAGCACCTTCTCAACACAACGGCCTTAAAATCTGGGCCAGACCTGGGCTCTGGCAAGGACTAGGGCAAGGCCAGGGATTACAGGTGCCTGGAGAGGAAGAGCTACAGCTCATATTCCACACCCCTTCCCCAATTACGGGAGGGGAACTTGTCTGCTGCAGCGAGTCTCACCCTCTCCGCCGCAGAAATCCTTGGGGAACATCCTACCTCGGTCGTAGTCTCTGCTGCGGTCATCGTAGCGATCCCTGCCCCCAAAGCCACGGTCCATATCCCTCCGCGGACCATCACGATACCGATCGTCGTAGCGGTCCCGATACCCTGGAGGCAGAAGGGGGGTCCAGCGTGAGGAACCTGGCACACCGTTTTACCCTGAACGCTCAGGCGACAGACGCCAGCAAGGATCTTCCTGCGCTCGTTCCGGTAAGACAGTCACAAATCCCTTAACAAAGCTGGAAAACCTCCAGGTGGGAGACGGCGCTGACCCACTCGCCCTTACAATAACCTAGCTGGAGAACGAGCTCCGGGCGGCCGCTCTGTCGGTGTCCGATCCTGGACGGAGCAGAATAAAGCACACCTGGATGTCAAGATAACGCAGATTTTCCGGGGAAACAATGGGAAGGAGGAAGAACCATCCACATGGAAAGATGCGGCAGATTTGGCTACCGACGCAGGGGAAGCAACCACCAAGTCTCACAGGAAATCCGTTTGCCAGGGGAGGAGCGGAGGGAAGCAACAGTCCAGCTCCCTCATTACTGTTCCAACCCCCTCAGACACCCTTTCAGGACAGCGACGGAAGGAACACTTATTTTTCTGGCAACTCACTGTCTCCGAAGCTGTCGTCGCCCCTGCGGGGTGGGTAATCATCAAAGCTATCGATGGTGGCAGGACGGGCCCTCCAGTCGCTCTCGAACCTCTCTGAGTCACGGAAGCGATCCCGGTCTCTGCCAAAGCAACGATCGTCCCGATCTGCCAGGGAAGGGAAGGAAATTCAAGCTCGCAGGGCAGAGAGCAGCTGTCGGCGGTGAATCGCGCAAGAGCACAACCCGAACACACTCATCCAACGCTCTGAAAAGCCCTTGGCTGAGTCAGTGCGACAGAGACAGCACAGGGGCGTGGGAGGAACCAACACAATGTCATTAGATTAAGTGCTGGCAGGCAAAACATCCTGGGCCAGGCCCTCTGGCCACGCAGGCAGGAGTCAAGCCCGTGCCCTGGCCTGGAACAGGGCTCAGACTCGACGATCTGCGTCGTGATGACAGCCATTTGTCCCTCCTTTGCCAGGCTGATCGCCAACACGGCGCGAGACGTGGTTACAAAGATAGCTGACGCGAAGGGAAGCTCGTGAGCCAGCGGGATGCTCACCTTTATCCTGAGCTTGATCAGCAACATCCACTCGTATTCTTCTGTTCCCTAGGGACTGAAAACAAGAGGGAGAAGTCAGCCTTGCCTCCTGATGACATACAGAGGGGCAAGAAGAGCCAATCCTGGTGTGACGCCTGAGCAGAGTGGGCAGCTTGTACAACACTGGGGCTGATGGCTGTAAGAACTTTCTTCTCCGTTTAAGTCTTTCTCAAGCAGGGACAGCCATTGCTCTACAAGACGACATTTCTTAAGGCATCTCTAGCACCCAGGGCTGCACAGGAACGTGCCCGATCCGACGGGGGGACGTTCAGGGGCCTGCATGCAGCAGTCCTGCTCCAGCCGGAGTCAGACTCACCTCTTCATTGAGGCTCAGAGCCTGGAACAAGGAGTCTATGTCTTCAAACTCAGCATAACCAAAACCTTTCAACCTCTCCGGATTGGTAGGCTCCCGCGGCAAACGTACAGCACTTATCTGCAGTCGAGAGAGAAGAGCAAAGCGCCCGTTAAGATTCTTGCTCCCCCACATTAATTCGACGGGCAAGGATCGCGTTACCCGAGACACACAACTCATGGCTATCAAGGGGCCAAATAAATCCTCTCAAGGATGAGCTGGGGAGAAGGCGGTTCGCTCCCCCTTTGAAGATGCAACAGGCTCCCACTAAAGGTGCCACCAGCGCTCGTTGGAGGGAGGAATTTGGCACAAGAGGTTTCCGGCTGCAGATCTCCAGTAGCTGCAGTGGGAACTGATCCGAAGGGCCAGGAGAGCTCTGCTCCGCGGGCAAGAGCGGCCCTGTGCCTCGGGAACGAGGCTCCAACCCCACTGGCGGGGGCTCCGACAGCAGCCAGCCCTTTGCATCCCGCCCGCTTTCAGAGCTCGTCCCAGAGAAAAACCCTGCTGAAAACCAGGTTTGGATCTGTTCAGCTCGAGGCGTCAGGCTGCCAGGACGGCTCGCTGGGTTTTCTACGCTGCATGTTGTATGTGCACCTCCGGCCACACTCGGAGCCCTTGGATCGCTTCCAGGCCCCGTCAGACATCCCACCGCACTAACACCTTCTCCCCTCTCCTTGATGGGTTTAGGTTCCCAACGCGCGGCTGCTTCCAGGTCACTCCCCGCTCAGAGGCCTGGGAAGCGGCAGCAGCCCGAGGAGCTCATTCTGTGCTGGCAAAGGGAAGGCCCAAACTGCATCCAGACGAGCCGCACATGAGGAATCGCGGCTCACACCAGCACCGGGAGGGGCTGGGAAGGTAGAACAAGCAACAGATGCGGAGCCAATGACTCCTGCAAAGGTGAGGGCCACAATCGTGCTCTGCTGCTTATTCTCCTGCATAGCACTGGCCCCTCTTGCCTAGATTTGGCTGGGGCTGCAGCCTCGCAGCTCCCTCCTCCTCCTCTGCAGGAATTTCACCCACGCCATTACTCTCCGAGGAGGAATGGATCCTGCCTCAGCAGGCAGGAGAGGTTAGAAAAATATTCTGAAAATAAAAGACCACAGTAAGCAGCGTGGCTCTGCCCGCGGGGAGCTATCTGCTGCCATCAGCACAGCTCGCTGCTGCGCGGGGAATGACTCCAGCTGCATTTCCCAGGCTGACCTTCCGTGACGGAAGCGGCCATTTCCCATCGCTGCTTGCTGGCCTGCCTTCACCCTCCCTCCCTCCTCCCCAAATAACCCAAGGGCTCCAATGTTCTTAAAGCTGGGAAAAAATAGTACTGTTGTGGCAGTCGCAGGCTGCATGGGAGCGTCTCCTGCTCTTGGCCACAGGGCAGGACGTGTCTTGAGTGAGCTCCAGCCGGGAAACCCCTTGAGAGGACCGGACCCAGCTCAGGCCAAAGCGGAGCCCAGCAGCAAAGTCTGTGGTGTCCCCGTGAAATTACATTTAAGAAAGGGCAGAAAATGCCAGTCAGGCAGAGGAGGAGGGGAAAAAAGTGAGAAACAGCGGAGGGAATGCAAATTCCAGAGGAGATGCTGCAGCAGGTAACAGCAATAAAAAGTCTATTTTAATTGGTAATAAAATTAGTTTTCCCAAAGTCAAGACTGTTTTACTTGTGACTAATTGTTAAGTGATCTCCCCATCTTTACTGGGACCCACAAACTTTCTTATCCTATTTCCTCCCCCTGCCCCGCCGAGGGGCGGCGAGTGAGCCGTGGGGCGGGCATTCAGCACCGGCTGTGCACGCTCCCATCACCCCGAGATCCAGCCCAACCTCCTCTCTTCGCTGGGTTCAATGGGGGAAACACCAGCCGCCCGCTCCAACAGGCTTCTTGCTCCGTCCGTCACACCCGAAACTGCAGGAGCAGCCGCTCGCTTCCCAGCAGTCCAGCGCCTCACCTGAGACCCAGCAACCCGACAGCCGCGGTCACCCGGAAACCACCCCTTGCGGCCTGGACGCAGCCGCAGGAGCTGTGAGCTGCCTCGGCCGTGCCGAAGCAGGAGCCAACACACGGAGCCGGCGGAGCACCGACAGGGATTGCAGCATCCAACATCATGGGCTTTACAGCCCGCGTTAACCACAGCAGCGCCCTGCCCCACAGCCCAGCCCCAGGCTGTTACTCACGTTGAGTCCTCTGAAGAAGTCCTTGATGGATTCCTCTGTCACGTCATAGGGCAGGTTTCCCAAAAAGGCGGTGTAGGGAGGGGATTTCGGGAGGCGGCTTCTGTCTATGTTGGGTTCCCGAGCAGCCCGCGGGGCGGTGGGCAGGAGGGAGCGGTCGATCGGAGGGGCCCGGTACACGTCGTCATCGTTACTGTGCCAAGTGGTAGAAACTAAAGAGAGAAATTCAGTAAATCACCCAAAAACCCACCCAACTAGAGGCTGGTTATTGCCAGTGCCATCATCCTTGCCGCACGGTGCTAACAGCAGCGTTACAGCTGAGGAGCTGCGCATCGAAGCCCTGAAATTCATCTGGCCGAGCTGTTCGACTCGGCACGAAAGGAGCAACCCAAAAGGCACCGGCAGCCCCCCAAGGAGAAACCAAGGCAGGCCAAAACCGCGAGGGAGCGCGACCATTTAGTCCAGCCACCCGTTTAATAAAGCATTAAGCCTTCCCAGGATTAATTCCCATTTGAATCACAGCCCGTCTCGTGGAAAAACACCACGGCTCAATATTAATGTTTTCAGAGGGAGAATTCGCTGTGACAGCTGAACCAGAGGTGACCGCGCTCACCGGTAAACTCCTGGGCCTCAGTGAATCTGCCCACCTTCCACCTTCTGCTCTGGCAGTTACGCTGACAAAAAGCTCTTTATTCCATTTCTGTTCCCCCATGCTGGTGCAAATCTCCCTCCCCTTCTCCAGGCTGCGAGTCTCGGCCTTAACGAGAACTCGGGTTTGCTCTCTGAGCTTAATTACTCCCCGGAAAAGAAACAACCAGCCAGTTTCGCAAGGTTTGGGTGTGCTGCTCGGATTCACTGGTGGTTTGAGGGTAGGGTCAAACCTGGAGCTGGCGGCGGTGCGGTTACCAACATTCCCCGCCTGGTTTCCCCCACATTCCCCGCCTGGTTTCCCCCCGCCGGCAGCGGTGTGAGAAGGGAAAGGATCTATCTGCGGACAAACTGCGTCCGCACCCCTCAAAGCCCAGGAGCGAGCCAGAAACGGAGCGCTTCTGCCTTGAATGCCGCAGGCCAAGAGGCTTCTCGTACGGGTGTTTGAACGTTACGAGAGCTGTTTGGGTGCTGTACTGGTTTGGGAGCCATGTGCTCCTGCGAGGCAGGAAATGGCAGTACCGTCTCCTTCCAGGTCATCTGTCTCGTCGGCCCAGCTGACGGGTTTGGGGATATAGGTCGGGCCCCCGCCGCCGCCACCATCCTCTGCCAGAAAGTCCGTCAGAGTGAGGGTCTTGCCCTTCTTGTTCTTCTTCTTAGCTGTTGGGGAGAGGAAGGGAGAAGGACGGGAGTGAGCGAGGCTGGCCCCCGCCGCCGCCACCATCCTCTGCCAGAAAGTCCGTCAGAGTGAGGGTCTTGCCCTTCTTGTTCTTCTTCTTAGCTGTTGGGGAGAGGAAGGGAGAAGGACGGGAGTGAGCGAGGCTGGGAATGGGCTGGCGTTGGCAG